CCATCACTAGTTTATTTTCTTGTGGTCAAAAATATATTTTGTTTTCCCTTTTTTGGCTCATAAGACATTTCTGCATTTTGTCTTTACAAAAATGTAAATTCATTTCAGAATTGAGTGTGGGACAAAAATATTTGAGCAGAAGATAGATTTGAGAGACTTCGATGTTTGTTTTCTCAATTGGTCGAATCGAATCATATTCAGTTTTTCAGACCTTCTCGATCTGTAGTCCATCAAATTTTGTGATCATAACCATTTAAATTTCAAATTCTTTGTATAACTACACAAACTTAATTTTGAATCGTCTTACTATACAAAATTTAAAAATTTAGTAGTCTATTATTAGAGAAGTGACAATGCACTAGAATAATAATTATTTTTTATTACACCAGATTTTTTTGTTGTTTTTAAACAAGTTTTATTTCTAACGGATTATTTTATAAATTTAATAATATAACTTTGCTTTGTGTATATCTTTTATGATTTGAAATTATCCCTTCTCTATATAACAGTCGAATATTTAGTTTTCGTTAGATCTCGATCAATATCTTCCTCCAAAAAATGTTTAAATGAACATTAACTTTCCTCTAATTACTTTGTGTTTCTTCCCATATTGTTACGTTTTTATTTTTTTAGTTCTTGATCTAGGCTTTAACCAAATTCTTTTGTTTACGTGTTCTCATATGTTTGAGGGTTTTGTGTTTAGGCTTCTCTACATACTTACTAATCTAACAATTTGTTCATCTAGATATGGTGTTTTGAACCCGACAAAAGTTATGATTAGTTTGAAGTTCAACACTGCATCGTTGTAAGTTTTAGAATATGATATAAGATTGAAATCACTCCAACTTATGATCACTCAATGATCAAGTGATTTCAAGCTTTTCAATCAATGGACGAAATAGAAGGTTTAAATCTCGAAAACAATTCTAATCCGCAGATTTTAATAGTACCTAATAAATCACTCAGTAAAAACTAAAGAACAAATAAAGTACCCAAACTTTGACTAGAAGAACAATTTCTATTAAATTCAATGCCCATGGGTAATTTACAATAAACTGAGCTTAGATAGGTTCGAAATACAATTTTTCTAAAGTCTAAAACAAGAAAGAAAATCTCAGATTGGATAAAAACTAGTTGTTGTAGTATTTAAGAGGGAATACGCCAAAATAGGAAGATGTAATGTCGCCTTTGTATTTGGACTGTTTGAGGGGATATATGAGCTTCTCTAGAACATTCTAGATGGAATAGATGACATCCAAAAGGCAACAGCCTAGACAAGAGAGCCGTTGGGGATTTAGGGCTTCAAATGTGTATATATTGAATGCTCTTTATTCCAAGTAAGGCAAGTGACTCTTTGACCAATCCCTAATGATCCTGTGCGTTTTGATAGGAGCTAATGACGTCTTGTAGAGCTTCTAGTTGATGTAGAAGGTCTCGTAGTCTCCAAAGATACGTTTGCAATCTCCCTAACTCCGAAGGTTCTAAATAAGGCAAGTCGAGAATGCTTTGCTTTAGAAATTGAATGACTCTTAAACCAAAATATGTATTGTCATGAATCCAACTCAATGAGCTTCTTTGTTTGATCAAGATTCCATAACAAGCTGGTTCATAACTTAAATCCTTTTTGTTTGATAGCAATCCTCTAATAAACACTCGTAAGTCCAAATTGGCAAAGTACGGGATCACCCGATTTGCAGGTTGAATAACTCCTTCATATGAACTCTGATTGTGATTATTTCACTTCTCACTGAGTCTCTAATGCGTTATATTTTTGGAATAATTTGATTAGTTGCTTAAATCTTCTTGGTTGGTTCGAAAGGTTCCTTGAAAGATGCATATGTTCTTATGGGGTTCAATAGGCTTTGTGTATTCAGTTTGATTGAGCCCCGGTTCAACTATTGATTGTTGAAGCT